TGAGATGAAAAGGACCAAAATGCATACACTGCTGTAAATGGATTTAGTATAATCCTGCTGACCTGGCTTGCAATAAATTCACTCACAGAAGCTGATCAAGATGAAAGACAATGTGTGTATTGAAAGCATATGCAAAAGAATGCCAAGTACACATACATAGTAGCTCTTCTTAATATTAAAGAAAGCTGTAAGCTGAAGTTCTGACTTAAAAAGACATCAGTGCAGCTCTCTCCCTGAAGATCTGTCAGTATGTTCTCATCTCATACCTAACAAATAGCGCCAAGCCTCTTTTATAGCAGTCAATTTATTAAGATCTGAAACTATACGGTGCTTGTATCTGAAAAAGAATCAGGTAGTGAGTCTGTCCTTTGAACAAAAAAGAATAAAGATCTAGGGATAAAACACCTTCCATGAAAGGCAGTTTTTAGTTATCCATTACCCTTCTATTTTTCAAGTCTGAGATAGCTTTCAAAATATCTCTTATATCTCTGCATACTAAGCAATCAGCTTAAAATACAGAAACTGTGCAACCATTGTATGGCAATCATATATTAACAAAGCCAAAGATTCAGATCTCTTTCACATGTAAAAAACTTCTGCAAGGAATGTGCAATATAATCTCATTGTAAAAATAAAGTAATTTTACATATTATAAATACTAAATTTAGTATCTAAGGAGATTGTATGATGTTATTAATTCTTTTTCACTAGAATCTAGCATGGTTCTCTTACAAAAATCACCCACTCTTAGTCAGAGTCATCCTGATTCCAAAAGGTTTCAAATTTTATGTCTTGGAAATTTCCATGCTTTAAAACATTCAAATATTTCTAGAAGTTTCTAGAATTATCTAGGGTGATATTTCAAGATGGTGGATTTTTAAGAGCACACAAGGAATCTATTAGACCATTCCTGTTATTTCTGCTCGGACTGAGAAGTGTGGAAGCCCCTCAGGCTGGAAGCAGCTAACTAATGTTAAACACATCAGAAATACTCAAAAACACAAAATTTTGAAGAAGCTGGAGAGTAGTTATCATACAGAAGCAATTGTTTTTAATAATGGCTACTAGTGCTAGAAAATAAATAGTGAATTTGGTACAGAAATTTTSCAGGCAATCATCAGGAAAAAAACAAATATAAAAATGAAGAGATGAAGGCAACCCGTGTATTTTTTACATAATTTATGCTAAAACAACACACACAAAAATAATAATTTAATGTACTTTGTATTAGGTAAAACCTTTTTACTCTTACCATACTGAAAGAACAAATTCTGGGATTGAAGAGTAACTGGCTAGATATGGGCCCGTGAAACTAAATGCAAGCAAGGTGTAGTCCAACTGAGCATCCCCTAAAATATAAAAAATAAGGAGCACAGTCTTTAATTGCCCTAGACTTCATAGGATACTTTCACAGAGAGAAGGCTCTTCTCAATTCCTATTTATCTACTTTGTTTTAATTCTTCAAAGACATTTTTTAGTCCTCTAGTTCCTTTGCTTCATTCCAAATTATTTGTTTTGATTTGATCACAGAAATGTTCTTTATGAGTCATTCTTTTGAACTTTTACATTTTGTTTTAATAATACTTTGTACTTGTAAAGTGCTTTTTCTCCTGAAGTCTTTTGCAGTCATAATTTCATTCATCCAGTTTTCCAAGAAGTACTGAAATTATTTAAATGACAAGGAAACTGAAACATGGAGAAAGCAAGACTTGTTTGGTTATTAGGGCTACATTTTCTTATAATTAATAATTATAAGAATAATTAATAATTATATATTAATTATTATACTATATATATTATAGTATATATATAAAAATCAATAATTAGTAATTATGATTAATAATTATAAGAATTWAAAAAAAGCACTGKTTTTTTTTTTTACTTATAACAATTACATTTTATATTGCTATATTCCTCCCGAATTTGAGCCTAACTAAAAGTAGTGCAATGGAAAATTCTTTACATTCATTTTTGAACTCCTTGTCGCTAGTTTCCTGTCACGCTGTTTTTTAAGTTTTATAAAATACCAGTGAGAAAATGAGTGATTTAAGTATTGTTTTGATGGAGTCAAATGGGGAGGGTTACCAAATCACTACCTTTTAATTCTGTCACTTTATTCAGTTCTGGAAAAGTGTAGATGTATATGAAGGGATTCAGCTTCCGGTCGGAAAAAGCCACCACTTCACTGTTCCCATTGACTGCGAAGGCTCCCACCTGGCCCGTCTGACAYTCCAGAACTGTCCTCTTCTTTGTTTCAATGTCCACAAAGACGATGTAGTTGCCACAAGGATAGCAAACAGTGTGATTGTTGACGAAGCCAATCTTGTCTGAGAATCCCTGAACCCATCTTAGGGAAGAACAACTGAGCATTAGAACATTAATCAGACATACATTTCTTAGAGCACTATGTAAAAAGGGAATGTCCTAGCCTAAGAACTACACTGATCTGATGCCTGCAATTTGTTAAATTCAGCTTCATACTAATGCTACAGACCCACAATAACTTCAAGATCAGTATTACGAATCACTAGCCGGTGCTTTCAGAAGCATGTGGGTGGTCTGATGGAGCACAAAGGTCTATCATAAGAGCAGGGAGACATGTTTCTGTTTCTTTCAATTTTCACTAAAGCTAGTCCCTGTTCAAAGCTGCTGTTTTTATACTGTTATAGTAATAGAGTATACCTTTTTTTCTGAAATAATGAAAGTAGGACAGTCTATAGTGTGGACCCAATATTACTTAACCTTTTCTATAATTTCATAGTTCATCTCATCTCCATAAAACAATCAGATCGTTTGTTTTAAACACAGATTGACTTTATATGAACTTAGCTAAGAGGATTGTTGTGCATTGAGCCRATCCTCTTCTTTAAAATCAGTTTGAGTGCTGATCCCCTACGCTCTTACTTGAGGTGTGTACTCTAGCCTCTTTGCGCTCGTGGTTAGGAACATTTTTTGCTTAGCCTTGAGATATTCATGCCCACAAATATCTTTCTGTTTTCTATTTTCTAGTTTTCTGTTGTGGGACTATTGCTGCATGCCAGAGTGCAGCCAGAGCCAACACGCGCATGCTGACCACACATGCTTGCAGATGAACTGAATCCCATGGAACAGAAGGGAGGCTTTTCTGCTGCAGAGTGTTTTTCTGGCCCTTCTACACAGGTACGAGATACACGAGGTGCTGTGGCACATGAACACAGCCTCACGAATGCTCAGAGGCATCAACTGTGTTTTTCTCCAGCAGTGGTTCTGAATCAGTAGAAATGGGGAATTTTTAACTTCTGTTCACAGGATATAGAAAATGTGATCAGGGATAAAGTTAACAGGATGAGAGTACAGGTGAGGGTGGATAACAGGTGAAGGTTTAGAGGTATAAGGATAGYGGCTGTTACGAGCTCTGCTTGAGGTGGGTTCACAGTCACACTATTAGCCATGACTCAGGCCTGTGTCCTACACATTGTGCCCATCTCCGCCTCTGGATAAACACATAATGTGTCAGAATTATTTCAACCAATACTCTGTTGGCTGTAATAGATGGAACAAATTAGAGTTATCTGGATTTATTAATGGAATATTTTTGCTGTAGAAATATTCTAGTTCATTCAAAACAAAGGCAGAGGGTAGAATTCAGCTGTAGCTCACAACATCCACACATGGAAATCTCTAGATCTCAGGTGCAGTTTAAGATCCTGAGAGAGAAAAGCAGGAGGGACAAGACAGGGGAGTTTAGGATATGTAGAAATCTAAGGAAATTCCAGAGACTGGAGCTCTCTGAGTAAGACAGGACAGAGAGGTGAGACCCTGGGCAGGCCTGCGGTGTGGGGCACAGGGCAGGGTACTGAGGGGGGCAGCCAGGCGCTGCAGCGCCGGGGCTCTCCCCGCCAGCCCRATACGTGCCGGACGGCGGCCTCCGCCGTCTCCCCTTCCCCAACGGCTGCCCCGGCTGGCGGGCAGGGCTGTCCCGGCCGCCCCACCTCACTTCCAGCGAGGCCTCCTCGGCCGAGGGACAGCGGCCGCCCCCGGGGCCCTGGGCAGCGGCGTCCCCGCGGGCCCGGCCCGCGTCTTGCGCCTCGGCAGCCGCCTCCATCCGCCTCGTTGTGTACGCGGCTCCCCTAGCAACCAGAACGGCTCCTGCTATTGGCCGCAGCAACACSGCCCGCCTAGAGCAGGCAACTGATTGGTCTACACGCGTCTGTGAAGCAACCAATGAGCGCGCGGCGGATATTTAAAAGGCGGTCGCCTGCGGGCRGCTGCGTCTTGTCGGCCCTGCCCGGCCCAAGCGCTTCAGCTCAAGAGCAGCCAGGAAAGGTCTGCGGGGCAGCAGCTCTTCAGCTGCACTCGCCCTGGTGGCCTGCAGGGACTAAGGAGGCGGTTCTGTCTGTAAGTCACCTATCATCCTGCTGCCCGCGGCTTCTGAAGCCGGTTTCTGAAGAAAGCAGGGAGCTTTCCTGGGCATGGAAATGTCCAAGTCTTAGAGGGAAAACCAAAAGGGTTCTGTGTTTCTGTCACCCAGCTGGTCTTTGTTCCAGCCACAGCTTTGCTGTTCTCATTMAAAGGAGTATGATGCTTGGGTTTTCCTCCCTTTATGTGAGCAGAAAAAGAGCTTGTTTTTACTGTCTCTACCTTAACTGTACTCTGGCTGTTTGAGTAGGTGATCTACAGGCTGTATTAAACCAAAGTTCTTTTGTGGGTAGAAAAAAAAATAGTTTTGCTGACAAATCACCCTTTATTACACAGCTTGTGCTTATCTAGGGCAGGACAGGCTCTGGCAAGTAGTTACCACACCCTTCTGCTTGCTAGTTACGGAACTAATCAGCAGTGATTAAAAAAAAAAAAAAAAAAAATCAGGTTATTCTATTTTAGTTTATTAAGGCCTCCTCCTCTATTGGCTCCTCCCTCCCTCCCACAGCCCCGGCGCGAGGGGCGGCCGTTACGGCGCCGCCCAACGGTCCCCGGCCGCGCCGCCCAACGGTCCCCCGCGTCCTGTCCGGCGGCGGCGGAGCCCGGCACGGCGCGCAGCGCAGCGCGGCATGGCAGGCGATTTCTCCCGCAGCCTGGGCAAGGGTGAGCGGCCGTGCGCGGCGGGCGGGGAGGCCGCGGCGGGCACGGCGGCGGCCGGGTAACGGCGGCGGCGGCTCTCCCCGCAGGCAGCGCGGCGCCGGGGCCCGTGCCCGCGGGCGCCATCCGCCTGTACAGCATGCGTTTCTGCCCCTTCGCGCAGAGGACCCGCCTCGTCCTGCGCGCCAAGAACATCAGGTGAGGCCGCGGCGGGGCCGGGTCAGGTCGGGCCTTCCTTGGCGCGGGGGACCCCATGTAGCCCCGGTGCAGGGCGGCTTTTGCGGGCGCTTTAAGGCTTCGTTTACCTGGGGGGAGGTGGGGGTTCCGGAAGCAGGAAATAATCAAGTATGCGGTGAAATCGGTTATGTAAAGGCCCGGAGTCGGTTGCTAGGAAGAACACGGTGAGGCCTTTTTTTTCAGGTAATCTTGCAGTTGTTTTAAAGGTTGAGTTTAGAAGATTTAGCAGATGTGTTGTATACTTAAAATATATGTTTTATTGGCCTAATATGAACAAATTTTCTGTTTTTCTTTTTTTATGGTATCTATTTTGCTTTGGATCTGCAAAACTTTTTCTGAGAGGCTATAGAGTAGGAAGATATATATACACACACACACACACTGTTAAATATATATATATATATACTGTTTATATGCTCTTTTGTGGCTGGTTTATGGCTGAATTAAGGTGTTAYTGCAGTCAAGTGGAGTGCAGCTTGCTCTTAATTGAGTTTTTTTTGGCTAGAACATCCAGCATGTGATAAGCATGTGATAAGCATGTGCTATATTCAGAGCTTGACTTTTATTTTAGCATGACTGGAAGGGTTCCTCTTTTGCATACATAGACTGTTTGTGTGTAACTTCTGCCAGCATGGATTTTTCTCCAGTAAAGGGATGTGCTCCCTGCAAGTGTAGTGTTTGAGTGTCCCGTGGCTAGTCTTGCAAAGTAAAGGACTTCAGAGAAGGCCAGGAGAGCATGAGTGAGGATTCAGCCTCAAGTACAGTAGCTGCTGAGGTGTAATGCTCACATATCTTCATGGTATTGAGTAATGCTGTAGCAGAACTAATCCTTTTGTCTTTTTGCTTTTACTTGTCAGCCATGAGGTAATTAATATCAATCTGAAGAACAAACCTGATTGGTTCTTTGAGAAGAACCCCTTTGGGCTGGTTCCTGTTCTGGAAACCAGCAAAGGCCAGCTGATCTATGAGTCTCCAATTACTTGTGAGTATTTGGATGAAGCATTTCCAGGGAAGAAGCTGCTGCCTTCAGACCCATATGAGCGAGCCTCTCAGAAGATGCTCCTGGAACACTTCTCAAAGGTACTACTATGTGTGTAGAGTGAGATTTTGTTTCTTGCTTTACCAAAACATCAAAACTGCAGCTGCATTATCAGTGCTTCTTTCATGTCTTAAGACAGGTCTTCTAGGAAAAGCATTTAAATAACCTGAGACATCTAGAGTATCTTGCTGTGAGCTCATACACATTGCTATGCTCATGAATTGCAGTCAGCATTTATGTGAAGGCAGGGATGGAGCTAAAGAATGAGGATTTTGAGCATCCAGCAATAGTGGGAAGTTTAGTCACCGAACTAGCTGAATGCTAGAGAGCCAGTCAGCAASAGCTGCTGTTGTCTGCCCTAGCCCTGACTGTTGGAAGGGCTGTGTGAATGCAGAATGTGAAGAGTGCCTGAGAGAGCTCAGTCAGATGGCAGGGAGCTGCAGGCTGCAGAGGCATGTAACTAAGCTGGATTTGCCTCTCAAGGAGATGGGGAGGTTGGCACTATGGTGRCCTGGAAAGAGGCATAACTGCCCAATACCCTAAATGTAGATATGACAAGCACAAGCTTTGAAGAGTGTAGGAAAGCTAAAGCGTGAAGAAAGTTAGCTTGGATATGAGGCAGTGGAAGAGGTGGAAAAAAAAAAAGAGGAATAAAATAATTGTATTTAGAGCAGGACTTTCTGAATAGACATAATTGCAGGAGATTTATAGGATGTTGCAGCAAATAATATGTAGTGAATGCCAACTGTATGAATGTCAAGCTCTTAGAAAATTGGTGGTATGTGAATTAGGAATATCACTTGACCCCTGGATAAGTTTCTGTACTTTTCATCAATTTCTCTAGCAATTACCAAACTATAAAATACACAAATCTGTGGAAGCCTGTGTGTCCTAGGCATCTGTATTTCTCAAAAGTAYCTTAAATCTAAATCTTTGTTCAAAAACTATCAGTATTTCAGCAGTAAGTGGGAAAATAATATTGCTGTGCACCATGGTGCACATTTTTATAGCAATTTTTGGTAGTGTGTGCAAACTGAAAACATGCCCCTCTTTGCATAGTTTTTTCCTAAAATGTTGAAAAATTTTGGTTTTGATTCAGTTTTTATTTGTCTATGCTTTTCTTGTTAATGGATTTCACCATTTTAATAACAACTTAACCTTTARCTTAGTATCTTAAGCTCTGAATGACTTCTATTAATACAATAAGAATATTAAAAGCCTTCTCCTTTGGTTTATTTAGATAGCACCTCTAGTCTTCAAGTACTACACTGCAGTCAGAGATGGACAAGATGCCTCGGCAGTGAAAGCAGAGTTTGTTGAAAAGATTAACAAACTTGAAGAGGTAAGAGCACTTCATGGTAATGAGCAAGGTGGCAGTTTCTATATCTTATCCTTTTTCCTACCATGTTTTGGAACAAGGTCCTTCTCCTGATGTTGGAAGTTGTAGCAGTGAACAATCTTGCAATTTACTCACCTCAGCCTAGGCTTTGCGTAGCACAGTTAGAGTAACTTGAGTAGCTAAACTAGACTTCAGCTTTGCTGTGGACCTCTAGATGCTGGCTGACTAGCTGGTCTTAAATATCTTCTTTGTGCTTTGGATGAAAGGAAGTCTTGCAGCAAGCATTAGCAGCAAGGGCTAAGGAGTTTGAGTTGCTGAAAAATGTGTTTTAGTTTTGCTGACATYGTGTGTATTTGCTGCTGATGAAATTACTATGTTTTTTTACTTGGAGAGTTTGTCTTTGGTTATCCTTGGATGAGGGAGATGGAGGCAGAGCAAAATCTGACCTTAGCAGAGATCAGTCCAGTGCTATGTTATGCCACAACAGTATAACACAACTTCAKCTGATCTCCAGAAAGTATCAGGTGGTTTTGAAACTGCATTAGGGACTTTTCACAGTCCTGTTCTAGTGTAAGTAGTGGATCTTCCCAAAGCAGAATGGCTGTCAGACTCTCACCAATTCCTTCTGATTTACCAGCAGCCACAGCATATTCTTYTCTGTCTTGAGAAAGAAGTATTCTTCAGAGTTTCTCTGCTAGTGCAAAGCTTCCAGTTGCTTTCCAGTACTTTCCTAATTCCTTGAATGATCCCACACATTGTCAAAATAGAATTGCTTTCAGGAGTCTCATCTGTCTCATCAAACTATACAGTAGCACAGATGACAAATTTTGTGAGGGAAGCCACTTAATATTTAATGGATTTATATCTTGTGGACAAATTAACCTTCAGCCTGCTTTATTAATGGGGTGAGAAACTTATTGCTACTTCAATGTTTCCCTTCTGCTGTCCTTGAGGGATTTTGCAACAGCAGCTGAAGGTGAGCTGAGGAAGGAAGGCACAGCTGTGTAACCTTCAGTCTGTCTCTTGCAGAAGATTTTTGAGTAGTGCAGTGTGTCAAAATGCTTCTGTGCTTGCTGGTACCTGGCAGAGGGAGCTGTGTTCCTATTGCTGGAACTGTCCAGCTGTCCAGTCATATTCTGTCAGACACCTGGTAATTCAAACATCTTGAGATGTTTCTTGTAGGAACTGCTTTGAAGTATTTATTAGATTGTAAGAGGAGTGCAGGGAATAAATGCTATGGTAGTAGTTTGGTGCATGTCTAGAAAGACAGAGATTTGTAATGTCTCAAGTTCTGTCTTTAAAATATCAAGATGCCCCCAAACTGAGATATTTGTTTGCTGAAAGAAGGGTCTCAAGTTTAAGTGCATCAGTTTGAATGATCATGGCATTCAAAATGTGTCCAAGKCATAAGAGTAGGAAGAGAACTTACTGCAAGAACTTACTTGCATCCTTTATTGCCTTGCTGTTTGCTGCTGAGCCTGTGCTGGGGCCCTGTTTCCAACATATGTGTATTTTGTACTTGCCTCATGTTCCCTCTGCATCTCAAGTCAAATCTGGTTTTAAATATGTTRTTAGAAGTGTTTTCCTGACAGCACTTGGGCTCAAATGCCACGAGAAAGAGTCTGCAAAAACTGTTCTGGTTTATCTGGATACTAAACTTAGATTATTTTACTGCTCTAGAAATGCATGTGTATTTTATTTGATTATTCTCCACTGCTATTATGTCTATTTTCTTACAAGTAAGAAATTGCTACCTGTTGCTACCTGATAGAGATTGTAAACTGAACTCCTTTTTGATTGTGTACAAGCCACAAATTGCTAATGACCTGTATTTTGGCTGGTTTTGAACAGATGATGGAGAAGAGCCTGACTGACAACATATAAAATAGTTAAACTTGGCTCTACAGCTGCTTTACTGACTAGGTCTGGCTTTCCAGATACTGCACACATAAGAGAAATGTGCTGTTTCTGCATTATTTCCTGATTGATGCTTTCAGTATGTTTGTGTTCCACTGTGAGGTGGGTTTTTTGCTACTGGAGGGTTGTGCCATGTAATTTTCCTTCTCAGTGTGACTGTCTTCCCTCCCTTCCCACAGACGCTGTCCAAATGCAACACTGTGTATTTTGGCGGGGACTCTGTTTCCATGTTGGACTACATGGTCTGGCCCTGGTTTGAGCGCCTCGAGGCAGTGCAGCTGCAGGAGTGAGTACCATGGACCTTGCCCACTTCCCAGTGGCTACTCGAGTGTCCCAGTGTGAATGTCCTTTTCACCCACTGTGCAGCCACAGGCTGTTGTTGAGGCTTGCTGAGGAAAGTGTGTGCTGTGTTAGTTTGGAGGGAAATGTCATTTCTAAACTGAGATGAGTTGCTCAGGGAACTTCTTGAAGAAGGGTTTCATCAGGTTTGTTTCCTATCAGATAATATGGAGAGAGCGGGAAGAAGTGGTAAAAATACAGAGCTTCTACTGTCGCACTGCAGAAGAAAATGAGTCTTCATGTTCTTGTTCTAAAACATTTGATTTGAAAGGGAGACTTTTCAGAAAACCTGGACTGACAGAGGAGGATGGTTTTGTTGTGAGGTGGATAAATTATAACCTACCTTGTTGTAGCTACTAGAGAAAAAATTAGGAAAATGGTGTCAGAAGAGAACTATTTTGTAGTTGAGATTAGAACAGGACTCAATGAGGAATAGGGAAGTTGCAGGGAATCCTTAACATTGTAACTCTAGCACTGAAAAAATTAGTTTTACTGAAGGTCTGCTGGCCTACTTTGCCTCTGTGGCCCTTAACTGGAAGGAGATATATTGCAAGTGGTATAGGAGTACAGGTCTACAGTTATGACAGAATTTGGATGACTGAGGATCTGAACCAGAGTACATTAAGAAAAGATGCTTTCTCTGTGAGTCTAAAAATAAACTGGAGAAGTTGTGTATTAAACTCTTAAACTGAGACTTGGAAATAGCAATGCAAAATACTAGGGTCAGTCTGCTGGAGGAGAGAAAATAATTTATACTACTAAGTTTTCAATTTGCCACATCATTGCTCTTTAAAATGCCTGTCAGAGGGGAGTGGTGGCTGTAGTGCATTAGTCAAATCATGGATTTTCTCAGTAGACACTGGGTCTGGATTTTGAGCTCTTGCATTGCAGTAAAAATTTTATTACCCTGCACTTACCCTCGTGTCTGATGCAGAGGTGAGTGGGAGTGCTGGGTTGGGCTCAGCAGTTGTGAGCAGCTTCTTTAGGGACTTGTTGCTGATTCCTGAAGGAGGCAGTGTGGCACACACCTTTCCTYTCAACACAAAGGCTGAGGTCACTGAGGGAAGCCTTTCTTGCAGTAGGGGAATGAAGATGAAAACATGTGTATGCCTTGCACAACAGGTAGGTACCTGTGTTTTTGCCCAGCTTTGCAGAGTGCACAAGCTTTGTAAGAACTCCTTTATTTTCTAGTTAGCAATCTGTGTTCTGTGGTCTGGTACATATTTCTGTCACCTGCTTCTAGTGACAGTCAACATTATGCTGGAAAGGAGAATACAAAAGAAGCAGTAAAATAGAACCTCTCGAGCTGTTTTGCTTGTGTGATGCCTTTTCCTATTCACATTACTCAGGCTGTTTCCTTTTCCCATAGCTCTTTGAGTCACATGCCAAAGCTCCAACGCTGGATGGGAGCCATGAGGGAGGACCCTGCTGTCAAGGATACAGTGACTGATCCACAGACATACAGAGGCTACCTGCAGCTCTACGTGAAGAACAGCCCTGAGGCCTGTGATTATGGGCTTTGAGGTGCCTGTGGGCACATCCTGCTGGAGGAGCAGTGCCTTTCTTCAGTGTGAGCAGTGGGAGTGTAGTGCAGTTTGGTGGGGGGGGCTCTTTGTCTTCTGCTTTGTGGTGGGAATAAACTTGTGATGAAAAAGGTGAGAAAACCCTCGGGAGGAGAATGTGCTAGCTTTGGGTGACAGGGGGAAGTCGCTGATGACTATGTATATCATGTAAAGGAGAATTTGTCTTCACTTAAAGGTGACTCTGTAGTCTCTTTTCAACCACTGCTGTTGCGTAATCACTGAACCTGTCCTATTAGTTGGTTTAAAAAAATGTAATTCTTTTTTTGAAAATAAAGCAAGAGAGCATACTATGATTTCTTTATACACAGCTGTTTTTCTGTGTTCCAGGCAGTTGTTAGTCACTCGGCTGTGCAGAGGGGAGTGAGGTGCTGCTAAGGCTAAACAGATAGTGCGGTCTATGAAGTTAAGATGCAGTTACCCTAGTGTAAACTATCCTGCTCTTTTGAGACCACTACTGTCAAGTCACTGAACGTAAAACTGCACCTATTCAGCCTTGCTGAAGCTGTGGCTGATGGAGCCATTTAGTAATGGTTTCCAGTACGAGCAAGATTTGCAAGGAGGGTTTTGGTTTCTTTTTTTTTTTTGCAATAGATTGAGTTGATTCTAGGTCCAAACCTCAAGCCTCTGGAATAAAGTTAATGCAAACTATATCCTGAGCAGAAGGACACTTTTTTTGCTGTACTGTTTCAGAACTCAAAACTTTGCTGTATGTGCCAAAATGTATGTGAAATTGGAAGACTTAAGTAGAAAGACTTTAGTCTGAGTGTTATATATTGTTGTCATCTTGCTTCTGGGAAAGCAATAAATGGGTTCTGATTCTATGACTGGATTGCTGAAACTGCTTTGCAGATGGACAGTACAGCTTTGAACCTCTCCTAGGTACTAGTATAGTAGAGTGGGACCTGTGTGGCACGTGAGTACTTGAATCAAAAGTAGTCATAGGAGAGGACAGACTTATTTTCATAGGGTAGTAAAAGAATTATGGCTCACTGGTGCTTGGATGGTCAGTTTGTAGAGAAAGGCATATGCATGACTGCAGGAAATAAGCTTGCTGAGAGAATAAGGCAAAGCAGAGTATTTGGGCTTAAGGACAGGACTGCATTTCTAGCAGTACTGAGATGATTGTCATGAGATACATAAGACTGTTGTGATGACTCCTGCACTGAGGTGAAATGGCATAGTAGAAGGTGGTAGTTTATATTTTTTTTGTAGATTCTGAGGCTCTGAACATCTTGGAGAGATTCTGGAAGAAAAACCAACTAATTTCTCATTCCCCTGTCCACCCCAACCCTGATGCAGTCTGCCACAACATACTGACTCGGGAGATGGAAAGTGGGAAAGCAGGTAGGAAAGACATTTGATGAGGAAAAAGAATTAACAGAACCCCCTCCAATAAATGCTTCCTACCAACTCTACATCCTTTTGGAGGCTGCAGTCTGTGAGCATACAGACACTGGAGGAGCTTGTTTATACTAGCTTTGAACCAAACTACAGGTTTCCCCTCTCCTGTTTATCTTGTGGCTTTTAAACACATCTGACACTACTTAAAAAAATACTAATTATGGTTCTTTCCCTCCCAGAATACTGATTTTTCCGTAAAAGGTTGCACAATCTAAATCCAATGCTGCAGATGTTCAGTAGGTTATCATTAGAAAATTCAGTTTTCTTTTATGTTCYGAGCAATTTTCTTGTGCTTATTCAGAGCATTTTGGATACCCAAAGGAAGCTCAGGGAATGGCTGTGCTGCAGAGTGCAATTCATGATTATTAGCAGAGTGACACTTCAGACACTTGAATTAGCCCAACTTGCCAGCCATTATCTGGAGCAGTAACTGATAACTCCTGTGTGGATCAGTAAACTTCAGTTAAAGCTTCCAGCCTCCAGCTGGGTAAGTTCTATGTGAATAGACCTTCACTGATGAGCAGCCTTCTCTTTAAGTACAAATTAATTTTGCAATAGAATAAGACTCATCTGTTCTGTGCTGCTCTTGATCATTGTGCGTCTTGTGAACAGCAGAAAAGGATCAAGTGCAGGAACCAAGCTTGAAGGAGACTGGCAGATCATCATTGTGTAGAGACTCTGTGCCAGATTTTGCTGGGTGTTTCATATGCTGCTGGGGAAAATGTCCAGGCCATGTTTTTACACCTGAAATAAACCCTCAAGGGAGCAAAGGTTTTGTTCTGCACAATCTATGATGTATATTTAACAGCAAATTGCCCTAATGTAAAACTTGACTGATTTAGAAGGATTTATGCAAGGACTGGAGTTCTTATTTATGACTGTGTTGTACAAGTAAACTTGCTGGATGCCTCTCACCTAGCTGTGAATCTAGCCTGTCTTCAAGTTGGCAAGATCTATAGTGTAAAAGTGAAGAGGTGCTAAGAGGAGAGGGAGAGAACGAGGGGAAGGCATGGCCTTAGAAGCACAACCAAAGGAAGCTGTTTTATTTTATTGCTGAGGACAATTGTGGTTTTTGAAAGTGAATGTTGTTATTGAGAATACAGTTTGGTCCTGAAAAAACAGTTGCAAGAACTACAGCCTACTGGGGCAGTGGGATGATTTCTTGATTGGAGTTGGGTTCTTAGAGCTAAGTTGGGATCTCTTGGTCATGTATGACATTGCTGTAGATAGTAGAGACTTTAGCAATATGCAGGTTGGAACAGAATGTTTTTCATTGGCTACTTGGCTTTGTTTAGGGCTTGTTAAAGCTGTTAGGAAAGTAGGCTGGAAATCTGCTTCCATAAACTTTCTGGGAATGCATTGCAGTTTGTTCCAGTATATTATTGATAGTTAGTGAGAAATGTGACATTAGAAAGATCCCCTGATGGGTTAAGAACAGACACTCGCATCTCAGATGTAAGTGACTGAGGCCAGACCACAGTAACCAGGAGACTTCACTGTGTTGCCTGAACAGAAAGATGTGCTCTCCACATCTTCATTTCCTGKCTCTGAAGTGTCTCATAAATATGCCTCTTTGGAGGGGGGCGGCGGAGGGGGAAAAGAGCAAATGAAATATCCTTCCTTATAATTTACAATTAAATATCAGTGCTGTAAATCCCCAAGCAGACAGCTGGGGTCCTGAACCCATTACGGCACACCAGGAAATGCAGTCCTTAGGCAGAGTTTTTGCTGTGCTAATGAATATGCAGCGCTTTGGCCCAGCCTCAAAGGAAAGGAAAAACTATGTGGAATAGACAGAATCTTTCCTTTCCTGGTGGATGAACGTAAAGGACACATGATACTAGTCTAGAGAGGCCAAGTATAAAGCAATCACAGTTTCAGTCTATAGAGGAAAAAGATAAAGCCTACAATAATAAAAAAGATCAACAATTTTTCCATTTGATCTGAGCTCCCATTAAAATGTTCCGAGGACTGTTGAGAAGAGCTGTCCAAGGAGGTTAGAAGGGTCTGCGGTCCTTGTGTTGGATGCAGTTACTGGGGTACTGGAATGAAAAGTCTCAAATGTTGCAGACCGGTGGCCCTTGAAATACTTAGAAGAGCTCCAAACATACCTATGGTTTTGTTGCTCCTAATCAATTAATAAGGAAGAGAAAATAAAAATCATCTTCCTATCCTGTTTCATTTAGCCCCTATCATTGATGTTTGCAGAGGGAAGCTGGGCTCTGTGATTGAGAGCTGGCTGTGTTTTATCTTATCTTCTTTGCCTGATGATTTCATTGCTCTGTTCCTTGATCATTGGCTTGATTTGGGAAGGACTGATGAAAACACAGCCTCTTTACAGTCATGAAATCAGATGCTATTTTACTAAATTGTTCCTTATTTCTATAATAAGATGAAAGGACTGTTTTCCATTGCTGTACCAAAGCCAGCAGGGCTGCTAGTTGCTCCTTTAGTTCAGTGCTGCATTAATGTCATACAGTGTTGCTACYATTTTTCCCTCCTAAAATATTTTCCTGTCTGAAACAGGAATTACAGAATTTCAGTGATGTGCAGCTGTGGTAGAATATGAAAGGTTTTTAACAGTGTATAGTAACTCTATATCTGAGTACAGGAGGAAAATGCATGTGTGTGAAAAAATTGAGGTACTGAGCCTTTCCTGTGCTGTTGCAGTTACCTCTGCAGTCTGAGAGAGCTCACAGCACCTGCTGCAGGTTGGTGTTCTAGAGCCACTGCTCTCTGTTGGCAAAGCTGATGGAAAAAGCCACGTCTCTGTGGGAAATGGAGGTGAGCAAAAGAGCATTGATCAGCCACAAGCAGAGCAGGGAGGAGGTAGAGTTTCCTGTAAACTGTACACCATTTACATTAGTCACTTCTGTGACTGCACAGCAAAAGCATGGGAAGGCTGAGGGAGAACAGAGGGGAAAAAAAAACTGTTGGCTTCTAAACACCTGAAGAATCAGTGGCAAGGCCAACAGGGAGACATTGCTGTTCAATTCTGTCCTTCCTTCAGCTCTTTGCATATGTTCCTCTTTCCCAAACTGGTGCTTTTGCTCCTTCCTGCTTCTGCTGCTCAAACTGTCATCAGAAGGGAGTTCACATGTAGGAGTGTAGCTGTTTTTTCCTTAATATTCCTCGCTTGCTGCTGTTGTAGCAGCCCTTTTCTGTGCCTATTTAAGTTTGGAAGCAGAGGCTGTCTCATTTTACTCGTAATAGCTAATGCAGGGACATTAATCAGCTACTTCTCTTTGTGAGAAAACAGGTCTGGTTATGTAATCCTTGTCTTCAAAACTACAGCCTCTCAGTTTTTCGTGTGTGTTGTGTAGCTTGGCTGAGTTGGGCAGTTTTATTTGTGCTCTGGGGTGAACTTTTACCTCAGCATTATGCCCAGTGTGGTTCCAGCAAAAGGAGAGACAGTGTGTTGAAATACAGGAACTATTGGTAGAAACTTGCAATTGGACCTGCACATGCTTTTCTCTGGCTTTATATTCAGGAGTTTCCTAAGTGATGTGATCTGATAATCTGCCTGCGGCCCTGAGTTGAGCTTAACCAGCGGGAATCTCATGCTGGCAGCGCAGAAAACCTGTCCCGTGGGAATGGCCACACGGTGTAGACCAAGCAGGGCTGCTGTGCATCACTTGCACTTACAGGCCACAAGAGCTATCCCAAGGCTGCCCTATGCCTCCTGGTGCTTCCTTTCTGGGAAGACCCACAACATTTTAGCAGTTAAGCAGCTGTGCTCTCCATGGCTCTGAGAAATTCCTTGGTGGGGTTTGGTGTCTAGCAGAGGGCTGTAGAGCACAGCTGAAGTGCTTGAGCAGTGTAATGAATTTCCCCCTTCGGTGCTTTTGCACAGAGGTGAACTGACAGGTGAGTCAGGCTGTAAACATTGTGATTCAGTGGTTCCAGTTCAGCCCAGCCCTGCCTGCTGGGTCTGTACCACACCATGTTGGATCTTGAATGCGAGCTCATCTGCATAAGGAGCCTARTAGGATTTCTAGTGACATTCAAATGTTGTGGCATTTATGGAAAGAGACTGACAGAAGTCTAATCTTAGCCTCTTGCAGGTGTATTAATCTTTGCTGGATTCACTGTTACAGCTTGTGGCACTGCCAGCAGATTTGAAGGCGGTTTCACATCTAGCATTGACTCCTTTTTCCCTAGACTTCCCGAGATGCTATAAAAATCTTTAATAGCATTGGAGTCTTCATTCTGGTGTGCAGTTTTTAATGACAAAGACATTTTACAAGCACTCAAGTACCTAATGAGGGATGAGTTTCAAACATTTCTGTCTTCTACCTCCTACTCTTCCACCTCAGAGCGCGTCAGTCAAGCTCTTCATCTTCAAGACAGAAACTGC